AGGGAGGGGCATAATTTTTTGCCTTTTTTAATTCATATGGGTCATGCGTGGATCCTATCACATGTTATAGGGTGTCAAATTTATTCAAACAAACTAGTTTAATCCCATTCTCTTAAGGTGCGTTTGATTACAAAGGTGGAAAATAGGTGAAAAGAAAATGTTCTACAGGGAAAATATTTACCTAGAAAATATTTTGAAGGGAAAATGATTTCAAGTGTGTTTGATTGGTATGATTTTCCACCCGTAAATTTTTTAAATTTTTTATACGTTTGGCTTTGTTTTACATGGAAATTGTCCATTAAATTTCCACAACTGGTTATAAAATTTGTTTACATTGCCAAAAAGTAAAAAAAAAAAAAAAAAAAAAAAAAAAAAAATTGTTTCTTAAAAAATCATTTTTTTTTNAGGGCCTTATAAATATATACCGGGAAAAGGTAAAAGTACATTTTTTCATTATTATCTAAATTTTGGCCAAAGTCTATGCTTGCTTGTTTCTTCCACACTTAGCTCCTGTTTGGCACCCATTTTTTTCTCATTCTCATTCTCATTCTTTTTCTCTTTTTTCATTTCAACCACACATTCTATCAATAAAATAATATTACACATAAACCTAAAAATTCTCCTTACTTTTTAACCACACATTCTTCCATCAATTACTATTCAAAAACTCATTTTTCTGCTAAAATGGGTGTCAAACACCCCCTTAATCTATCCATATACAACTCGTATTGATAGTTGACTTGACTATTGAAGTGCCAACGATTGGTTGACATTTTCTACCTTGGCTTCATCATTTGGGCGCTAACCTTTCGTTATAGTGTATGAGAAGCATAAAAATAATAAGAATGTGATTGTGTCCTAGCAATTTTCGAGTTCAATAATATTCTATACGTAAATGCATAATATTACATATAAACAAAATCAAGTGCGAATATTTGAAAAAAATTCCCAGTTCTCTCTCTATTTTGCCTGATGAAAGTGTCAAACAATCTAACGCTTCTCCATTTCATAGTCAAAATTTTGCTCCAATCAAAACTAACCAAAACCCAAATTTTCCACGTCATGGAGTAAGCCACGTGGTCGTTGGCTTGTGGTCAACGTAAATCTCAGTCAACGATTGTTTTCCTTTTTTTTTTACTTTGATTTGACAATGCTGCCGTTTTATTGAATTTGTTACATTATTTTAATTGCATCATTTAAGAAAAAAATAATAAATAACAGAGAATATTATTTAAAAAATTAAATATATTTTTCATATTAAACCCTTGTTTGGTTCCCATTATTTTTAAAATATATTTTACTTTTTCTTATCTTGAATCACACATTATTCAATGAAATAATATTATACGCAAATTCAATTTTTTTTTTTACTTTTTAACCACATATTTTTCATCAAAATACAATTCCAAAATGTGTTTTGGACAAAAAAAAATGAGGCTCAAACGGCTCAAATAATATCAACGTAGAATAGATAAATAGTAAAAACATTAAATCCATCGAGTAGAAAAACGAATTGTATAATTATGTTTCACACACCCTATTTGGTAGAAATTAAAACCCAAATTTTAATCTAAATTAAAATCAACATTAAATTTAATAACATATTTTATAGGATCTACAACTTTCAACCAAATATTTCATCAACTTTTATCAAAATTTACTAAAAATATTATTTTAATTCTCACCAAACATAGGCTCAATATATTGCGAATCGAAACTAAATTTTACAAATACTTATTTCTCCATCAATTATAAGTTTTTCCATTGAAAAAATAACATCAGAATTATTAAATTTTAAATTATGTACTTTAAAAAAAACTGTAAATTATAAAGAAATTGACTGCAAAAAATGGGAGACCGCACAAAGTATTAATAATGGACAATCTTTTCCTTCCTTGAAAATGGAGTTTAGGTCTTTATCAATTCCAGTTCAATCGGGACAAAGCAGTTTGATGATCCGAGCCGAGGAAAAAAATTAGTGGTGGCAAATGGGCCAAGCGGCTGGGGTTCATCATTTGACGAGCCCGAGCCCGAGCCCGAGCCTAGCAAGCTGACTCGCTAGGCGAGCGGCTTGTGGGCTCGTCCAAGACAAATGATTTTTTTTTAAAAAAAAGATTTATCTTAAAAAAAAAATTGACTAGCTCGTGAGCCAAAGCTCAACTCGATGCACGAGCTCATGGGCGGAGCCGAGCTCGTGGCTAGCTTATAACGAGCCGAGCTTTTGCTCGGTTCGTTACTCGCGGGCCGAGCTCATTGTCACCTCTACAAAAGCTAGAAGGCAAGACTTCAATGTAAAATAAAAACTCAAAATTTAGTTAGAATAATTCCATCACATTTTATTCAATTCAACACAATAATATTCTCTATTAAACAACAAAATAAAAATTAAGTCTCGTCTTTAGTACATTTCTTCTTTATTCGTCTATAATTCCTTTATAAATTAGAGGGTGCAATGACAACTTTTCTGCATCTTAGATTCAATAGAAATTCAACCATTTGAATTTAGTTATGAAAGCAAGAGAAGTGACAGCGTTTTGCTAGTTGCCTTGGCTGTTAGAATTTTCTCTTACACCAACTATTCAAATGAGAATTGTACAATGTTTACCTTCAAAAAATTTAGAATCTATATGGAAGCATTATACAAGATTGAGAAATTTATATTAATATTCCTACAATTTATTTATACCGACGGTAAAATATAGTCACTACGAGTCAAGTATCGGAGCTTGTAACCAATCTATTTGCTAAAACTTCTTCCTCCACTCGAACATTCAAGTGAGTACTTACTACGCGCCACAAACTTTCAGGGCCGGTTTGGACAGAATTAAAATCTGATTTTAATCTAAGTCAAAGTCAAACAATCAATATTAACCATATCTTTTATGGGTCCCACTTTTTTTCAACCACACATTTCAAAAATTTCTATCACAATCCACTAAAAATTTAATTTTAATCCCCATCAAACACCCTCTCACACTGTAGCCGAGTCGTCAGCCACCTACAAAAGATAAGCCGTCAAATACGTTGACTTTCTCTTGTTCATTTTCATCACACGGAACCTGCCGCATATATCGGGGCCGGTGGATTCATCTCCCTCTGTGTTTTTCTATTACGAACGAGTCAAACTCGGTCTGGACGAAGAAATCTCTCTCTCTCTGTTCTCTATAAGTCTAAACTTTGGGCACCACTGCAACGTGGCAACCAACCCTGACGCACCACCTTACGTATCTTTTTTCATATATATATCAACTGTTGACATTGCCTTGTTTTAAGAATTCAAATCACTATTAGTTTGCATGCTTGATATTGTTTTATTTGCTTCTTGATTTATGGACAAAGGATGCGGTCGTCTTATCGCCGAAAATTCTGATAGAGTTGGGTTTTTCGGATTCGATTTAAGTCCAAGATTGAATCAGCAAACGAAGGTCATTATGTTTCCCGTGAATCTGTCGCCGGCCGATCGGAAACCGATGGCTTTAGGTGAAGTAGACTTCTTTTCCGATAAGAAGAGGCCTATTGTTGATCATGTACGTAGTCTTTTCATTATCTTATGTACTATGTGGTGACAACGTTGAACAGTAACAAAAAGAAGCTAAAATCTGGAGTTCTATTATGCAAGCATGTTGGATTTACGTGTATTTTTTTCCTTTAATATAGACGGGTTTGCAACTTGATGCTGCAGTCAAAGACGGTATTTCATCAGATCACGTGGAGGATAAGCTAGCCAAGAATGAAGTAAGGAGATAATAAAAGCGAAATTGTTGAATATATACTATTAGCATTACAAGCTTTGATTTCTTATTTGGTTCTTTTTGCATATTTCTGGATTTAGTTGTCACAATTGCAAGTAGCGATTCAAAGAATGAATTCCGATAATCAGAAATTAAGAGGGATGGTTACTGAGGTCAACAACAATTACAATGCTCTACATTTGGAGTTTGTAGAACTAATGCAGCAACAAGAAAATTCCAGATCAGATAGATCAGAAAAGGAATTGTTAAGGACTAAAAGGATTGGAAGGGAAGAGAGCCCGGAATCGGATGGCTTAGCTCCTAACAAGGTTCCGAAATTGAATCCCGATCAAACCCCCGAGGCTAATATGAGAAAAGCTCGGGTTTCAGTTCGAGCAAGATCAGAAGCTCCGATGGTAATCACTTGCTTTTTTTTTCAAGAATAAGCACTAAAATTGATCACCTGTTGTCGTTACTAGTAATAAGTAAAACAAAGTGAAAAAAAAAATAGTTGACCCAAATTTTACTGGCCATCATCATATGTTGTTACAGCTGAGCTAAATCTATATGTAATTGATTATAGATATCCGATGGATGCCAATGGAGAAAATATGGACAAAAAATGGCAAAAGGAAATCCATGTCCACGGGGTTATTATCGTTGCACAATGGCAGTTGGTTGTCCCGTACGCAAACAAGTATGTTCATGTTCATTATTACTTTCATGCTCGTTGAATTTTCAGGCTGATGTGAACTTTTTTGGGTTCTGAAACCTTATAGAGAACTTCCATCTTAACTCTTGATGTTAACCTATTACAGGTACAAAGATGTGCCGAAGACAAAACAATCTTGATTACTAGCTATGAAGGTACACATAATCATCCACTGCCTCAGGCCGCCGTGGCTATGGCTTCCACCACCTCTGCCGCCGCTAATATGCTCCTTTGCGGCTCCACCACGGGTACTGATGGATTGTTGAATACAACTTTTCCGGCGAGAACTATTCTTCCTTATTCGTCTAACATGGCTACAATCTCAGCCTCCGCTCCTTTTCCTACTGTGACATTGGACCTCACACAACCTCCAAATTCATTACAACAGTTCCAAAGAACATCACCTGCCCAATTCAAAGTCCCTTCGCCAGTGCCAATTCCACCAATGGCTCAAGTTTTCGGGTCAAAATTTTCAGGGCTCCAGATGTCTCAGGATATCGAATCCGCCTTGCCAAGCCAGACCGAACACCACAAGTCCTTTACCGACACCCTTAGTGCTGCCACAGCAGCCATTACCGCCGATCCTAATTTCACCGCCGCCCTCGCCGCCGCAATCACCTCCGTCATCAGTGGAGCACATCCGAATATCAGTGACAACACAACCAACGACAATTCCAACGTTAATGCAAGTACTAGCAACAAGATTACAAGCAGTATTCAATAATTAAAGCAGCTCTTTACTTTTTTTACGAACTTGTATCGAATTTTATTGTTTCGTTTTCGCATACGGGGTTCGATTATTGTGGACTAACATGATCATACTTTTTGCTTTTACGTATTAATTACCGCGGCGAGGCAGATAAAATTACGTTCTTTCCATGTTTTTGTGTATCCATACGATGTGCCTACCATTCATATTTGTATAAAATATTTGAAACACAATTGTTCGTTTGACCTTGTCGGTCGCAGTCGTACCGTACTGCATCCATTGATTCCACGTGGTTAAATGTGAACTCGTTAAGAAATAGTCTAATCCCCCTTGCTTTGTGATATTTCTATTGCACCGTTATTTTGAGAAAATTGAATTTTGATTAGTGGATTTTTGAAAAATGTATTGTTATAAAGTAGGAATTTTTTTGAATTTACATGAAAAATATTTTATTGTATAACTTTTTGGTTGAAAATAAATATGAAAATTATAAAGATGACTAAACCGGAGAGTGAAAACTACTCATTTATTTATTTGTAAGTTAGCATTTAAAAATATCATGTCATCTTCGCGTAGTTCCCGCCCGTTTCCGTTGAACGAGTCCTATTCGAAAGAGCGACTCTTGCATCTATGCCAACATCTCAATTTACCCATGCTTCTTGACAAAAAGTTTAAGGGCACGTTTATCAAAGCTTACAATTGACCACATTTCAAGGAATGTATATTTATAATCTTGTCAAACTCAATTTTTATTCACATTTCTTAGGATACATAATTTTCACCTCATTTTTAACTACATATCCTCAAAAGTATACATTTTTAACTTCGACAATTGAAAAGAGAAGTTTTACTCCATATGCAGCTATTTCAACAATGTCCATCTTTCAAACCTGAATCCTACCATCATTTTTCAAATTTATAATACAACATCAAGAAGATCAATTGAACCAACATCGCCATAATAGTTTCCAAATTGATATATATATATTTCTCCCTTCTATAATATTACAATTTTGTCGGAACAAGTAATTAAGTAAATCATCAGCCGTGTTATAACCACAATGTACTATGCTGTGAAAACATAAACTGCAAGACTCAAAATTTAGAATAAAATCAACAAAAACACAGACATGTTTCTTTAAATAACCTTTTTGCTATTGGAATGTGACCATTTTCGATCTAGAGATTGCAACTGGCTTCGAAGGTTCTGATTTTCCTCAAGCAAGCGATCATATTCAAGAAGATATCCTTCTGATTGTTTCTTTAAAGCTGTAGCATTGGCTTCTGCACTGTTTGCCTCTTTAATCTTTTCCTTGAGCTTTGACTCCAATTGCCTAATTTTATCATGCAAGGTAGTCTTCTCTTGTTCCAAAGCTTTGATTTCCTCTGAACCTCGAGTTTTTCCATCCTCAAAAGCTCGGTTCTGTTTCTTTACAGCTTCCATGCTCTTCCTTCTTATGTGAAGTTCTCGGATATAATGATGTAGTCTATCAATCATAAATGCCAGGAACAAAGAAAATCCTGCAACAAATTTGTACAAATTTTTAAAAGGTTACATATAATTACAGTCCACTTATATTTATTTTGCATGGAATAATTTTCCTTATTTCAGTCAATGCAGGAATAATATAGTGACAATGATTGCAAATCTGCTATCGCAAGTACCATGTTTACTGGATTTGCAGGAAAAACTTCCTTCCCAACTGTAAACTACAAAATAACCAGTCACTAGATTCAAATTCAAAAATTAAATTTGTATATATGAGCTTTCAAATTTCCATCATTATTGCTCAATCATATTTGAAGGTAAAGATTTTAGAAAGGTACCAAATGTATCGTCAAATATTCAATATGATTCCACAATATCTAGAAAGGATCTTCTGATTTACTCAGCTTTCGACAGAGAGATAAAGGAAATTTGTACTTTTGATGTAATATGAGAGAAACATCGACTGGAGCTAAAGCCTGACTTACATCCACACTCTCAAAACAAATTCCTTAGGTTGTGAGTTAAGCACCGGTATTAGACTATTAGTGGTACTCTCTCTCTCTCTACTAGTAGATGATAATAGATGTTTATAATATGTCAAACTACAAAACTTAAGATTGGATATTGGTTTGGACACGAAGTGAATACAAACGAACTTTCTCCTAAAGATATCCGTTGCTGCAATACATAACAAAGTTGAATTATGCACGATTAATTTGTTTTTACTTTTTCTTTACCACGAAAGATGAAACAAAAATTTAGGACACTAGTTCAATGCAAACATGTATTGCTTTCTGACATGTATAAGATATTAGCGAGAAAAGGATAAGCCATGCGCCCATACACACCTACAAATTCACGTGATATAATTAATATACCAAGGAAAAAAAAACGATCCAACTGAGCTAATCAACCAAGTTTCAATACGTAGATTACTTGACATTGATGTGTTCGATGTAATTATTTTTGAGTAGCATATTGCTCAAGAATAAATTGAATAACATGCTGTGAGATTCACCCAAATCCAAGCTTTTTAATCTTTTACAATCACACTTTTTATAGGTTTAAACTTCCCCACAAGTAGCCACTGAAAGATTCCACAATGAAAGTTAAAAATTTAGAATAATAAATCTTAATTCATTAACAAAAGAAACATCTAAGAGTCAACTCTATTACAAATAACATGCAGGGGTAACTAAAGACAAATAGCCACAGGTACCCGCCATCTATCAGTAATTTATTGATCGAAGATCTGACAATTGAAAATTACAACCAGATAAAAAATACACAATTTTCAAAGTCTTTGCTAAGGCCCTGAATTTCAAAAAAGAAACACTGAAAATCCTTGTTAAATAAATAACATTTCAAAACTGACAAAGATTGATGATAAACCAGATTTACTTAAAAACGAAAATGCATCCCAATACATACAGATGAACAGTTACAACACATAGGTTGTGCAGTGCAGCATAATTTCGGATTTCATAAATTTAGGGACCAAATTAAAGAACAAAATAAGATTTTTGGAACTATTACCCATCAGAGAAGCTTCGAGAAGATGCTTAGCAAGAAGAACCTGATCAGTAGCGTTGAGGTCACCATCATCAGTCCAACGCCTATGGATCGCCACCACATTGTACCCGCTGGACACCATCACTACAAAAATAGTACCCGCCACAGTCTTGACCACAATTGGGCCGCGTCCCCTCTTGACCCTGTCCAGGACCATTATCACCAGCTTCCTAAATGGCGTTTTGAACACGAACATCACGATTAGTGCAATCTCCACGAATATCAGAGTAAAGAGCAATTGGATCATTTTCGTTTTCCCACTCCTCTGAAATTTGGTATTGTGAGAGAAATTAAGGGCTGGTTTTTTACGAGAAGTATAGATTGATCAGAAAGGGTGAAACCTGAGAATGGGGTTAGGGTCTTACACTTCGTGCAAGAAGCAAGATCCACCTTCGGAACCCCCAATGCAACCATTTTAAACGGTCAAATCGAATTCATAAAGAATTGGAAAATTGGTTCAAATGGTCTCAAATTTTTGTTCATCTTGCATTTTTATCCAAACCTTTATATTCTAGGCATAAATTGCCCAATTCTATCTAAAAAAACCATTAGTTTGGAGCATGGATTCGACTCCACATTCTTTTAAGGAAAAATTATACATGTAGTCCCAACCATTTTCATTTATTTACATCAATGAGTCCCAACCCCGACATAATTAATAATTAAAAGAACGTGTAAATGTCAAAATAGAATGGTGTAACGGAGAATGTTCGTACTTGTTGAGCCGTGTGTGGATTTTGTACAACTTCTATACACAATATCTTGCATTTTTGTAAGAGAAAATTACCTGAAATCATGTTGTTTTAAGTTTTAATTTCATTAATCAAACATTAACTTTTTTTTTTCCTTCAAAAATCAGATGATCACATGAATGTAACTAACATGTCGATTACACATTATGTCACAATAAGATATCATACTAAGTCATAATCATTCATCATAACAAGTCAGTCACATACCACCTGGTTTCTTTAAAATTTCTTGAAAGTTTATTAATTTTAAAATTGTTTTCTTAAATTAGTGTTATTATGCTAAAAGCCAAACAAAAACTTTCATAAACCTTTGAGAAGATGCCAAATATCATATTTGTGAATACAACTTTGAGGTGGTCCACCCTTTTGATCTGTTTGGTTAAGGTTGTTACTTGTTATAATCTATGTAATTAAGTACTATTAGTCAATAATTAATTTCCCTCTTTGATAAATGATTTCACCCTTTTTGATGGTTCTCCTCATCAACTTTGTCCAATATAAAAGGGAAAATTATCTTTTGCCATGTAATACAAATTTCGTGTTGAAAGACTCGACCAAATACAAGATATTAGTGAAAATAACCGTCAAGTTGTGTCAACTTGATAACGTGTTAAGTAAAGTGGATTAAACTGCATTAGATTAAAAAAAAAATTAAAATCTTGTGTAGCATATGACTTGATCTATTGTGTCCACTAATCATCACGCCTAGAAGATAAATATATACGAATAAAATACCTTGGCATGCAACCCAATAAATGCCTTTAATTGCACCCATAGATTTGATTGCAACACAATCAGTTCATCAAGAAAGGCAAAGGTAACAACTGGGAATTCAAAAAACTTCGAGAACCAACATACAATTAGGATGGCTTGTAATACTTTGTGGGTACAAATGGCATTTTCGTGACAAGTCCGTCGTAGGACTTTCCACGAATCACAACCTTAACTTTCGTCCCCGCCTTGTGCTGTCCAGATTTTACGTACCCCATGGCTATGTTCTTCTTTAGGCAGGGGCTAAATCCTCCACTGGTGACTTCGCCTATGTTTTGCCCTTTATCGTCTTGAACCTCGCTATGACTTCTGGCTGGCGGACCTGAGGAGATAAAACCCACTCGCCTTATTTTTGGGCCCTCCTCGATTTGTTTGAGTATTACTTCAGCACCAAGGAAACCTCCTTGTGCCCTTCGCCTCTTCCCAATGGCCCATGTAAGTCCTGCCTCCACTGGTGTTATGTGCTGCTCCATGTCGTTGCCATATAAGCACAATCCAGCTTCGAGTCGAAGACTGTCTCGGGCACCTAAACCTGTCAACCGTACCTTACCCTCAGATTTCTCCAGAATAGCTTTTGCAAGATCAACAGCATGCTCTGAAGGAACTGAAATTTCAAAGCCATCTTCACCAGTATACCTGAAAGTTCATAAAGTTAACTGAGTAATATTTTTTCACCTGTCAGTAAGTTTCAAAGAAACAGTAGTTGACAGAACTCGACAATATAGTGGAGATTTCAGCTCCTTTTTCTTTCTAGGATGGTAAACTAAGGACTGTGTAGAGCTAGCTTCTAAAAATTGTGCAAGTCTTGAAGAAACACGAAAAGGTATATAAATAACAATCTAATCGACTCTCCCATAATTGTCAGATGTTAAGATCTCATGGTCCCTCTTAATTTTTAAGACAGCAATCATTTGAAGAAACAACACGAGGAAATGCAACATACCCGGTTCTTGTAAGGAAGCAGGACGCACCATTGATATCCAAGATGTGAAAGTCGCTGAAGTAAATCTTACTCAAATCATGTTTTGTCAGGTGCTGTAGAACTGGGCCTGCAAGGGGACCCTGTACCAGACATAAGGAGAAGTCGTATAAGCACGAGATCTTAAAAAAATAACAAGCTAAATATATCATTTATTACATTCCTTTTTAATTTTAATAGCTACAACATTCAACAGAATCTAAAAACAAAGAGAACGATAATGTTAGAAATGTGATTAACTGACCTGGAGGGCTAGAAGGGACCGCTCATCATGGATGTGCCAAGCGACATCACCACCTTTCGATGTGAATGATTTCATATGTTCCTCAATATGGGCAAGATCTTTATCTCTGCATCCTGCATTAACAACCAGGTACATGTGGTCATTTGTCACCTTAGTTATCACCGAATCGTCAATTGCACCTCCCTTCTCATTTGTGAAAACTGTCAAAGTCCCTGTCCCGGGTGCAAGACCAGAAACATCGGCAACCACTAACTTTTCAAGAAATGGTATGCAGTCCTTCCCTTTGAGACTTAAACCACACATATGAGAAACATCGAAAAGGCTACCATTCTCCCTACAGTTTAATGTGGAGTCCATAATTGAGTCCTTGTACTGGATTGGCATGCTCCAGCCAGCAAAAGGCACCATCTTTCCTCCATTGGCGACATGGAAGTCATACAGAACTGTCTTCTTCAGATCAGCTTCGGAAGCAAAGCATCGACGAGTGATAGTCTTCTTATTAGCCTGAGCTAATTGACGAGTTATTGATTGACCAAGTTGCCACAGTCCCCCTCCCCTCATATTTGTATATACCTGATAAAGGCATCATGTTAGGGATTCATTAACAAAAGAGCAAAAACAGGCACACACAAATTTCAGAGACTCACCCTCAACGTGATACTACCTCACCTTGTCGCCTACTAGATTTTCACTAGAAAGAAGAATATTAGAACAACGATCTCACACCTCACTATCTGTGTCCTACCCAAAAATTCTTTAGAAAATCCTTAACTTGATAAATGTCACATGTATAATTGATTCTGGAGCTAAAACAAATCTTGAACCAAGGTTTTGATGGTTATTCGTCTATAAAATTAAACTCATTGAGCAAAATGTCAAGAACCAAACCTCTTTCAAGGTGAAAAATTGTAGAAGTAACTTTTAGCAATGGGTTCAATTTATCATTAGAATTTTAGAACATAGAATTGGTAGTTCAATATGTACACATTTTCTGCAATCATCATAGACATATTTATTAAAATCTGATCAAATCATGGTAATCATAAACGGATTCTAGTTAGATTTCCCCTCTGCATCATACAGACACCTCATCACCAATCAAATTAAGTAACATAAAGAACCCAATTCAAATCTCATTCTCCAACACAGATCCTATACTGTTTCTTATGAAATTTAATAGAACTACATCTCTCATACCATTAACAAAGGAATTATATACAGAGTAGCAGAAAAGACACAACCTTGATGCAGTTGCGAGTATCTAATGTGAGAGAATGCTTATATTGTGAAATTCAAACGAGAGATTCAAGAACACTTACTGATTCAAAAGCTAAAAAGGTTCCTTTCTCTTGAAAATGGTATTCTTGGAACCTAATTCAGAATCTTTGGCACAGATACATGTATTTTCTGAAGTGGTACAGGAGTGAGTATATATATATATATGTCGTATGTAAAAGGTAATATGGTATTTAATGGTAAAATAATATATAAAACTGGAAATGTTTGGTGGGATGTAGTGGGTGGAGGAGGTTTTCTCCGCTGGATCGAGGCCCATCCTCAGTGAGTGGTGCTGAGATTTTCAGTTACCCAATTCTATCTTCGTTTGGTAAAGTGGATGACTGAGGATCCGAGTCGGAAACTTATTAAAGGATTTTTATTTTCATTTTTGGATCTTATAATGTAGCCAAAAATTTATGTAATAATCTTAAATATTATTTATTAATTAGTTTGTTAATAAATAGTATTGTGTAATAAACTTTGAAATTTTTGAAAAGAATTTAATTTTTAATTTTATGAAACTTGAAGTACTGTGCTTGCATTTGAATCTGAGTTATAGACATGGAATGTTAGCAATCATTTCTCGTAATAACTAATAACAAAAAATAAAATTTACAATAACTACTTAGCAAAAATATTGAGCAGTATGTCTTTATGGAAAGTAGACTAATGTAAAATGTAGAATATAACATTAAAAACATTATACAAAAAGTGTAGATACGTTAGTCTAGAAACGACAGTTAAAAAATTATCACTAACTACCATGTCATTTTTTCTCTCTTGATGCCACGATCATCACTTGTCACACTCTAATGAGAATAGCGTTGCTCCACGTGTCGATATCACATTAAATCTATTATTTTCATATTCGATGTTTATATTACTTAAATTGGTTTACGAAGCCAACTTGGGTGGTTTACACCATTTTTTTAACCAATACTAAATTGAATTTAATGTCAAGAATATATTATTCAACAGCTGACATTAACAAGAATTCCAACAAAGAAATATATTTATGTCTTAAAATAAGACAAGAAACAGCATGTAAACTTGCTTTCTTATACTTTTTCTTGTTCCAAGTTTTTTTCCTATGCATAAACATACAAGTAAACCAAAATCTCTAAAGCTTCAACATTTTCAGAGGAAATAGAGGAGGCCAACTTCAATTATGGCAAAGACAAATGTGACTTTGATCACCCAAAGCTCTTATGTAAGCTAAGCCCACCGCCCCGCCCCGCCACGCCCCCTCTCGTTTATTGAGACTTGTTTTGTCTTAAAGGGCAATACTTTTCCAAGTGCAACCCATCATATCGTTAAGCGATGTGCTCATTTAAGGCTTGGTTCTTATTAAGAGAATTAGCGTAAACCATCTTTTAAGCGACACCAGATTTTATCCTTGACATCTTTCACACTAAAAAATAGGCACTATTTTGCAGATTATTCTGGATAATGGAGTGGTGAGGCTAACTATATCAAAACCACAAGGACTATTGACTGGCATAAAATATGGAGGAATGGGTAATCTCCTAGATATCAAGTCAAATGAATTGAACAGAGGGTATGTTTCAGATCTTTTTATTGCATATTAGAGAAATTAGAATTTTCATTTATAAATTTTATAGCATATTGCATAAAGTGGCTTTACTTGTTCTTGATGCTTTTTATGGCTATAGCACATCTAACTGTACTGAAAGACTGCAACTTACTCAATTCCCAAATCCATGCAAAGCCACACTAAATAATAAACACCACCAAAGACGATAAAGAAAATTAGTTCTGATATTACATTACTATGTTCTTATAATGGGTAGAACATGTATACAGGTATTGGGATATCAACTGGAGCTTGCCAGGAGGAGAGGATAGATATCAGTTGTATGTATTTTCTGTCATTCTCTGGGAAATAGTTCATAAGTGAATCTAAAAATTCATTATTTCCAATTCAGGCTTAGAGGATCTGAGTATAGTGTGATTACTTTGAGCAATGATAATGTGGAAGTTTCATTTAAGAGTACTTATGATCCTTCAATTCCCGGAACCAAACTGCCACTCACTGTTGACTTGAGGTATACTACTAGCCTTTTCCTTCAAAAAATTGTCAATAAACATAACAGATTGTTATTTTTCAGATACATTGTGAGGAGTGGCATCTCGGGTTTCTACTGCTACGCAATATGCGAGCGTCCTCCTGGATGTCCTGCCTTTGATCTTGCTCAAACAAGAATGGCGTTTAAGTTGCGAAGAGAAAGGTTGAATTCCCTCTTGTATATTGCTTAGCTTAGCTGTAAAAGTGAGGTCCAACTTATTTATTTGAATTATATCTTCGACTATTGAAACAGGTTTCATTACATGGCAATCACGGATGAGAAACAGCGAATAATGCCAATGCCAGAGGATATACTCCCGGATAGGAGCAAACAGCTAATTGTACCTGAATCTGTTCTGCTTATCAATCCAATTAATCCAGACCTCAAAGGAGAGGCAAGTGAAAATTTATTTTATCATGTGCAGACTTATAAGTGCTAAAAATGCATATCCAAGAGACCAAGATGATAATTGTTCTTCGTATGAAAATAAAGCAGGTAGACGACAAATACCAGTATTCGATGGATAATAAAGATGGCGGAATCCATGGATGGATAAGCTCCCATCCTATCATCGGTTTCTGGATCATCTTTCCGAGCCATGAATTTCGCAATGGTGGACCTACTAAGCAAAATCTCACCGCACATACCGGTCCAGCTTGCCTCGCAGTAACCTTTCTCTCTCTTGCTTCCATTCATTAGTATCAAATTTCCCTTCAAATCTCTAAATCTAGTACAATGATGTGAAAACGAAAAAGATTTTTCAAGGTTCTTCTATGAAGGCATAAAAACACGAATAACCGAGCTGAAATACTTGAACTTTGGGTCACAGATGTTCCATGGAACTCATTATATTGGGAATGATATTTTGGCTCACTTTGAAGAAGGTGAAACATGGAGTAAAGTATTCGGCCCCTTCTTTGTATACCTGAATTCGACCACGGATATGTCAAAAGCACACTATTTATGGATAGACGCAAAGAATCAGGTACTATATAACTCAATTTTTCTGCTCTTTCATCCCAATTGTGTTGGCCTGCAACAACATACTATGCATTGTTAATAAAATTTGGTATCGGATATATGAATTCTTTTTCTCCATCTCTTCAGCTCATTGCTGGGTCTACTCAAAGATCATCACACATTGATGCATACTTCTTGGGCATCAATAGTTCGTTATATCAATTTATTAATCCATTTTTTTTCTTGGACGATCTTATCCTAGAGGTTATTTGAAGAGTCATTATGGCCATATGATTTTGTCTCTTCACCATATTATCTTACTTCCAAGGAGCGCGGTTCAGCTACAGGCCGAATGTTCGTCCAAGACAGGTGACAATTTCATCCCTATTGAAATAAATATTGTTCAGGAAAGAACTAGGTAATGAACTTTATAAAAAAAAATTATTTTTTAAATTGTTTTACATTTTTAACTAGCTGCTTATTCAATTTCTTCCCAAATATGTCTAGATTTGTCTCAAGTTCCCTAATTCCCGCAAAGTCTGCATATATTGGTCTATCAGGTGCAAGAACTGAAGGATCCTGGCAAACTGAAAGCAAGGTTATAACTTAAAACAGATAAAACTTGGAAATTTTACTGTTTGCTGTGTGTCAAACAGTTAGTGTCCATTACTACATATCAACCATGCCTTAAAACTTCCGTGCTTGCAGGATTACCAATTTTGGGTGCAGACAGATTCAAATGGAAATTTTACAATCAAGAATATTGTACCGGGAGTTTATGGCCTTCATGGCTGGGTTCCGGGTTTCATTGGTGATTATTTGGGCAAAGAACTGGTGACCATCTCTGCAGGTAAATGTTAGAAAAAGGAAAACAAGATTGTTGTAAACATGTATAAGCATTTACCGAAAACTCTTGTTAACATGTATTGAGGATGAACCAATGCAAATCTGTGTTGTTTTGCTTATTTATCATTTTTCTTCTGTTTATTACTCCTCTTTTAAGAAGCGATTAGAGCTTACTCCCTAATGTTTTAAAGTTCTACAGGAACGCAAACACAATTAGGCAATTTGATCTATGTACCCCCTAGAGATGGTCCAACCATATGGGAGATTGGGTTCCCAGATCGTACTGCCAGTGACTTCTATGTCCCTGATGTGAACCCGATGTATGTCAACAAGTTGTTTCTTAACAGCCCAGAGAAGTAAGCATCATATCCACTTCTTATTACACTTCCAAAGCACGTCCATCTTGTTAAACTATGTGAACGTAGCTCTTAAGTTGAAGGTCAACCACTATAAATCTTGGTGTGTGATTTGCTCATTTTCAACTTTTATTTCCATTTATTATCACTTCCGTAAGTAGGGATTAGTGCTTAATCCTAACAGATCTATTACGATCATGAAACATACTGTACAGGTTCAGACAATACGGACTTTGGGATAGATACACAGACATATATCCTGAATCAGATCAAGTTTTCACAGTAGGCATCAGTGATCCGAAGAAAGACTGGTTCTTTGCTCATGTCGACAGGTATTTAGGCCAGATGTTTACGTTCCCTTTGTGAAAAATGCACTTCACGTAACTTATGATACTTTCAGGAGAAATGCAGATAACAAGTACGTTCCAACAACCTGGGAAATCAAGTTTAACTTGAAATCAGTAATTGGAGGAATTTACAAGTTGAGATTGGCTATTGCATCAGCTAACCGTACTGACTTACAGGTACCATTGCCCGTTCTGGGATCTGTTCTTGATATAGACGTCATGACCAAGCTGGCTTTTAACCAAAGTGAAAATCGAGAAAGGACAGAAATAATGTGAACGCAAAGATTTTATGTTTCTACTCATTTGATGATATATATTCCTTTGTTGCAGGTGCATGTGAACCAGATGGATATCAAACACCTAGTATTCCAAGTGCTGAATTTAGGTGCAGATAATGCAGTTTGTCGACACGGTATACATGGACTCTATCGACTTTTCAGTGTCAATATCTCCTCATCGCTATTTTTCGAAGGAGACAATTGCATTTTTCTTAACCAGGCCAGGGGTGGAGATGCTCTTTGTGGTGTTCTTTATGATTATGTAAGGCTTGAAGCTCCAGTGCCTTCAGAGGGTTCTTAGAACAACTCCTACAACTTTTAAGTAACATCCAGATTTTTCCTTGTAACATGATTTTCTTAATAAAAATCACCTAATCTTCCATTCTCTATCATATTTTTTAAAAAGACAACATAACTCTTATAAACATGAGACTTCTTAAGTCCATATGGATAAGTGTATGATATCTCAATATTTGAATTTAAATTTATTATTTACCAATTGATTGATGTGCCATGTCATTGGTGTTAAGCACTGATCCTTGGCATATCATGTTTCATTTTTAACTACAAATGGTTAAAAAATTGAGTTTTCACATTATACTCTTGGTGATACAGTCATTAAAGCATTCATTTAGGCAAGAAGATGATTTTGGTGCAAGATTCATTCACTTTTCTAGATCTTCATTCAACCGATGATGTATTCATAATTTTTTTTTTCATTCAATATGTGAGCTAAACTTTTAGTTAGAATGAACAATGTAGTTTATTGAGGCTATTTAATTTAATTTTCAAGATTCTAGTTCTTAATTTTATATGTGTTGATTTTATTTATATTGTTTAATGTTTGAATTACTTGGTCAATAATTCAATGATTTTGTGAATTTATAACGAGTCGATAGATGAGTTATAGGTTTAGATCACGTAGTAGAATTGGAATAAAAGCATAGAGGTACATTTTCTTGTTAATGCAATCATTACATGGATTCTTAGAAATTTAAGGCGTTTAAATAAGGTATATCCAGATTCTCATAGAGTTATGAAATTGACTCAGTTAAATAATATCAATTTGAACTCGAGAGAAATAAATTGAATATGTTAGAAGATTTCCAATGAACACGACATTTAGTTATGAATCTTGACTAGAAAATTAAAGGCGATTGATAAATGAAATTGTATGCCCTAGCATCTTCTTCATATTAAAAAACCTAATTCGATTTTTGTGTGAATTACGATACATTCAAATAGATAGCATAACTTATAACAATAATCACCAAACTATAATTCATTTTCATCAAATAGAAGTGGAAACAGTAAACTAAGAACAAATAATAGTCTATGTGGAAACTATTATCCAGACTCAAATGTCCATTATATTACTTGTTCGATATTGTACACTACAATAAAAAAAAACACAACATTCATCATCATCCAATATAAATAAGGATCTATCCTAGCATGATTTTATATAGATTACAAAAGGAATAATGAATAGATGTCACCCAAAATATGAATAAATGCAAGCTCGAAATCTACAAGTTCTTGATGTAATTGATCTTAAATTCCTTAGTAGGTTAATCTTCTCTCCCAAAGGATGCAAAATTTGCCTCTTCTTCTTGATGAATTTTATGATATGGAAGTATATTAATAGGCTAGAGTGAGATTCCCTAATGTATAGCTCTTGTTCTATACTTATAGTCATCGAAAATTAGGTCAAGAACGAGTCCAAATTGTTTTCTAAACAGAATTTTGATCGTAGAATGAAATTGTCCATCGGGTCAAAATTTGTACCATATGTGCGCATGGTACATTTCTTTGCCTTCACATTGTAGAAAGGATTTTCTCTCGGGATTGCCAAAATGAGGTCTTGCAGACTCGTCCTCGCTCATGGTTATGTTTCTCGGTAGCCATCAATATTTTTATAATTTTTTTTTTCTTTCGACATACGATTGAGGCAATTTAAAGTGCATTGAAAAGCTAACTCAAATAGCTACAATTATTCCATAAATATATGCTTTTCAATTCGAAAACTAACTATACGAAAAATGAGTCTCAATTTGCGGTTGAAAATTTGGAGCATAACTTTTGTGGGTATATTGATTGGTGAAAATATTTTGACTCTATTTCAAAGCTTCATTAATTTGACTTTTAATTGCATCTCATTGATCCTGTGTGAACTTCAATTATCATTTTGTGGTCTAAGTCATTTGCTGTATATTTACAATTAGGTACCCAACCTTTGAATTTCTTTCTTTTACGCCCGTTTCTCATTCATTTCTTCCAATTCCACCATTTTGCATAGAATTTCACCTGACAAACAAGATTAAAACAAAATTAAATTATAATTCATTCAAATCACTAACAAATACTCCAATTTAACGTTCTAAATAAGTATGCAAAATATACTTATCAAATACCCTCGATCTTGAACAATTGTTTCTCTTCAAACAAATAGAGCTTAACTTAAACAAAGGTTTTAAACAAACATAGTTTGATGACCTGTTGTTGACATCGTGATTGAAATTTCTGGGTTAAAACTATGAAGTGCTTTAAAATCACATTGCTAAGATCAATTTCCACTTATACAATGCAAAACTGGCGTGCATATTGTAATAATTCATGTAAAACACTATGAAGTCATAGATTGATTCAAGTCCCTACCCTCAATAGTCAAATATTTTATTTCTTCACTGGTAAGATTTACACCCTAATTTATTATTTTCACTCTTTTCCCACGGTGTGATCCAAAGGCTGATATTATATTGTAATCCTCATCCTCTCTAATTGGCTTAGTTAAATAGAATCAATTTAAACTCGAGAGAGGTAAATTGAATAGAATAATTCGACCGAACACAACATTTAACTAAGAATCTTGATTACAAAATTAAAGGTGGTGATCGATAAATGAAATTGTGTGCACTAATATCTCCTTCATATTAAAAAATCTAATTCAATTTTGTGTGTATTACGATACGTTCAAATAGTTAGTAGAACTTGGAATAACAATCACCAAACTTATTATTCATTTTCGTCAAATACAATTGGAACTATTATCCGGACGCGAAGGTCATTTTATTACTCGTTCGAAATCGTACACTAGCGATAAGAAAAACACAACATTCATCATCATCCTATATTTATCTAGCATGATTTTATATAAATTACAAGAAGAATAATAAATAGATATCACCCAAAACATGAACGAATGCAAGATATCTTGATCTTCAAATCTAATTGGTCTTCGAAATCTTCAAGTTCTTGATATAATTGGTCTTTAATTCCTTACTAGGTTAATCTTCTCTCCCAAAGATGTGAATTCGCTTCTTCTTCTTGATGAATTTTATGATATGAATGTGTATTAAGAGGCGAGAGAGATATCCCTAATGTGTAGCTCTTGTTCTATACTTATAGTCATCGAAAATTAGGTCAAGATCGCATCCAAATTGGTTTTCAATTAGAATTATGATCGTTGAATGAAATTGTTCATCCGGTCAAAATTTGTACCATGCCTGCAAAGTAGAAATTGGGACACAGGTGGACCGTAGGTTTGAAACCCACAATTGCTGATTTTACCTGTATGCCACGAGTAGGCTGTGTTGCCATCGGTCAGTTAGGCAATTTTCCACGTATTTTATTTTCTTTTGCCATTTTTTCGAGTTTATCTTTTAAATGTACTCATATATAAGAGGTAATACTATATAAAGACTTGAATTAGATTAAAAAATAAATCCACAACTTAAAAATTAGAGAGAAACACATTAAAGAAAAGCAAGAAATCAAGCTATCAAGATTAGGGTTTAAAGCATTGATTTGGGCAAGAATAGATTTTTGTGCAAGATTCGTTCACTTTTCTACATCTTCATTCAAAACCCGGTGATGTATTCATAATAATAATAATTTTTTTTCATTCAATATGCATAGCTAAACTTTTAGTTAGGACGAACAATGTAGTTTATTGAGACCCTTTAATTTAATTTTCAAGATTCTAGTTCTTAATTTTATACATATTGATTAATGTTTGAATTACTTGGTCAATAATTCACTGGTTTTGTGAATTTATAACGAGTCAATAGATGAGTTATAGGTTTAGATCACATAGTAAAATGGTATAAAAGCATAGAGGTACATTTTCTAGTTAATGTAGTCTTTAATTACATGGGTTCTTAGAATTTTAATGCATTTAAATAAAGTGTATCCCGATTCATCGACTCAGTTAAATAATTTATGTTTGAACTCGAGAGAAATAAATTGAATATGTTAGAAGAATTCGAATGAACACGACATTTAGTTATGAATCTTGACTAGAAAATTAAAGGTGATTGATAAATGAAATTGTATGCCCTAGCATCTTCTTCATATTAATAAAACTAATTCGATTTTTGTGTGAATTACGGTACATTCAAATAGTTAGCATGACTTATAACAATAATCGCCAAACTATAATTCATTTTCGTCAAATAGAAGTGGAAACAGTAAACTAAGAACAAATAATAGTCTATCTGAGAACTATTATCCGGACTCAAAGGTCCACTATATTACTTGTTTGATATCGTTTAGTTACGATAGGAAAAACACAACATTCATCATCATCCAATATAAATAAGGATCTATCCTAGCATAATTTTATATAAATCACAAAAAGGAATAATGAATAGATGTCACCCAAAATATGAATGAATACGAGATATCTTGATCTTCAATTCTAAGCTCGAAATATACAAGTTCTTGATGTAATTGCTCTTAAATTCCTTACTTGGTTAATCTTCTCTCCCAAAATATGCGAATTTGCCTCTTGTTCTTGATTAATTTTATGATGTGGAAGTATATTAATAGGCTAGAGTGAGATTCCCTAATGTGTAGCTCTTGTTCTATACTTATAGTTATCGAAAATTAGGTCAAGAACGCGTCCGAATTGGCTTCTAAATAGAATTTTCATCTTAGAATGAAATTGTCGATCAGGTCAAAATTTGTACCATACGTGCGCATGGTACATTTCATTGCCTACGCATTGTTGAAAGAATATTCTCTCGGGTTGCCAATATGAGGTCTTGCAGACTCGTCCCTGCCCGTCGTTATGTCTTTCAGCAGCCATCAATATTTTAATCTTTTTTTTCTTTCAATAGACGATTGAGTCCATTTAAAGTACGTTAGAAACCTAACCCAAATGGCTACAATTATTCTACAAATATATGTTTTTCAATTCGAACGTTAACTATGCGAAAAATGAGTCTTAATTTGCGGTTGAAAATTTGGAACATAACTTTTGTGGTGGATATTGATCACTCATTTGAATTCTAATTGCAT